GATATTCTTAACCTTTATACAAAGAGCACACTCGATCTGCTGAATCTCACAATATAACTTTATGGCGCTGTGTTGTAATTTGCGGTTGTGGTCTTTTTAAATCAATAAAAGTTCGTGTTCCGTAAAACAACCCATTCGTGCGATACATTCCGTTAAAAAAATCCTTGTGTTAAGCATTTTTTTTCAACAACACACACACACACACACTACTCTCTCTCTCTCTCTCTCTCTCTCTCTACACACACACACACACACACACACACACACACACACACACACACACACACACACACACACACACACACACACACACACACACACACACACACACTACCATCAAACAACAAGTCAATAAATACAAAATCCGGTAGTGTCCATTGAACTTATTCATCAGCTGATCAGGCCGATGACAGGTCCATGACTTACACCGAATGAGGTTTCCCGTTCGTCACTGAGTGTGTACGACTCGGGAAAAGTGTCATTCGGTGGTAGTTTCCCTTGTAAAGACCAGTTGCGATGAAAAGTGTGGTTGAGGCGGACTGTAAGTCATTTTTAATTATAGTGATTCCTAATCCTGTCTGCTTTTTTTATCTTGAATAACGGTAACAAATAATCACCAGTTTCGCCATATATGTAGGCCTATACGTAATACTGTATACATAAGTAACGGATTCCCGGAATAACTTATGAGTTGCCAAGTAATACATGATCAAGATTTTGTTGAGGACTAGTTTCTACTCTTCCATATTTTATTTCATTTTTTTTCTTAGTTGTGTAGCAGTCGGTCGGCAGGAAACTCAATCATCCTTCTCGTTTATATGTCTGTCTTATTGTAAATTGCATATTTTTTGTTGAAAAATATCTAGAACAAGTAATTTCAAATCATTTGTCTTTTTCTGTGACTGTTTTGTTGTACAATTCACCAGTTGCTTACCGATACGAACATTCATCAACATGACAGCTGCTAACAGACCAGTAAGTGCTCAGTAAATGCGCTAGTTATGTTATCTTGCTTAAAAAAGCTTCCCGAACAGTCTTCCTGTGATTATTGCCGAAGTTTTGTCCGAAAATCCGAGCCCACTGCAACGACCGCTATTACAGGGGAATTATTCGGTATAGGCTTATCTGCGGGGAGTGTCGGAAGCCATGTTGCTATTGCGACATAAGGCGAATGACGTAGTTTGTTGCCGGTCGTTACAAGATGGAAAGCAACCGACTATCACTTAACGTTAATTATCAATCAATAAATAAATGAATATACATATTTCTTGGTTTATTTATCTACTTCTTGGCAATCTGACCAATTGCGGATTCACTCACTAAACAAGATGATAATCATATTCTTAACACCCAAAAGATACAAGCAACAAAATCAAACACAATTTTCCCCCGATTCATGTCTTAAATTGGACAACTTCTCGTTTCATCTTCACCCACTTTTTCCCTATTTCCTTTACTGCTTCCTGCGCTTTTTCCCCCCGTGGCTGCAATGACAGTGAGCGTGAGACACTTCAGGCAATTATCGAACTACTGCCCACATAAATCAGCTGTTGTGACGTCAGCCCGATTCTGGTAGCTCGTCATTTCACTTTTCTTACGATGAAAGTATTCTCTAATTCACTAAATGGCATCTTCGCATTGTATGTTTGTGTGTGTGTGTGTGTGTGTGTGTGTGTGTGTGTGTGTGTGTGTTGTGTGTGTGTGTGTGTGTGTGTGTGTGTGTGTGTGTGTGTGTGTGTTCGTGTGTGAAGGTATACACGTCCAAAGGTGGTGTTGTGAGACCAATATCGTTTATCAAATATTTTGCCAATTTAAACTTTAATCTACAACATAAATATCGCAATCTTCACTGCAATTGCAACCATCAAACAGAGAGCATTAACATGAGTATATCGACACGCATACTTTTATATATTCACACATTCATAAATACAGACACGCGTGTGAGTGTATGTGTGTGTGTGTGTGTGTGTGTGTGTGTGTGTGTGTGTGTGTGTGTGTGTGTGTGTGTGTGTGTGTGTGTGTGTGTGTGTGTGTGTGTGTGTGTGTGTCCGTGTGTGTGCGTGTGCGTGCGTGTACGTGTGTCCCTGAATTCCTTATCAGAACGAGGGAATCTACCAGTGAGAAACGGAATTGTAAACATCCTGCAGGGTCTGACAGTCACTTTCGCAGTCACGCCTCACTGAGTTTCTGTGACTGAGCAGATCCCACACTTCCTCCGGCGCCCAGGTTTGTTTTCCTTCCAAAGCACAGGAAGAAACCCCAAAGTATATGAAAAAAAAAAACACGAAAGAATTCACCGGTGCTATCAAGAAAGGAAAAAGAATTAAAGAAAAAAAAAACACGCTGTAAGTTATCTGACCTCAACAAATAAGAATAATCACACGCAAAAAATCGAAAAACCTTTGAAAACACAGGAAAAAAAAAGAAAAACATTTGTCTAACAGTCCCTTTAAACGAAAAAAGTAGTAAACATAAAATAGAACATTTATATAACAGTAACAGTCCCTTTAAACGAAAAGCGTAGTAAACACAGAAAAAAAAGAACATTAATATAACATTAAGTCCCTTTAAACGAAAAACGTAGTAAACATAAAAGAACATTAATATAACAATAACAGCCCCCTTTAAACGAAAAGCGTAGTAAACACAGTGCCAAACAACACCAATACAACAGTCCCATAGGCTTCTGAAACGACACCACAGCTTGCTCCGTCTAAAGGAATGGACAAGGTATTCACTGTCGCTGGAGAAGGAGCCAGGAGCAGCGTGACTGTGGTTACCGCCCCGAGTTCCCACGCCGCGCAGGACACGCCATAAAGCCCTCTCGTTGTTGGTTCCTGCTGCTCCTTCTTCGGGAATTGTGAATACTGTCTTTCGGCCGGTTTGTTAAGGCCCGACCCCATAAATGTTCGTGATAGGGACACGCATGTACACTGAAATAAGTGCATATCCATCAGACTAGACATGCATATCTACCATCTAGATAGAGCGAGATATGTATATGTCTGATAGATGGATATGCATTTATTTTTATATATATACGTGTCTGTATATATTGTTTATTGACTTATTTTTTATTTATTTTGAAATTATATTTATGTAGGTCTATGTGCTTATAGAGTACAGACTTTTTTCCAATGTCTATATGGGGAAAGGCTTCATATACAGTATATACATATGTATACAATACTAAATACACACGACATACAACATATGTGTGTGTGTGTGTGTGTGTGTGTGTGTGTGTGTGTGTGTGTGTGTGTGTGTGTGTGTGTGTGTGTGTGTGTGTGTGTGTGTGTGTGTGCGTGTGTGTGCGTGTGTGTGCGTGTGTGTGCGTGTGTGCGCGCGTGTGCGAGCGTGTGCGCACGTGTGCGTGCGTGCGTGAGCGTGCGTGCGTGTGCGTGTATGTGTGTATGCGTGTATGTGCGTCATATAGAAAAAAATATATGTGAAATTAAAAAAAATCTTTCTTTCATACTCCCATGCCAAAGCAACTAATGAAGTCCAAAAAAAAGACATCAGTAAAAAAAAAAAAACTTGACATTACGAGTTCACATAACTGCAGGTTCCCCTAAAATCAATAAACCTCTACTGCTTCCCATTCACACACCGGCGCTCACTCGATACGTCAAATTTCATACATTTTTTCCATGAACGCAACATTGCCTTAATTTTTTCTCCTTCGTAGCTGCAACATAGCATTTTCTTTCCTCCTTGGCAATGATACTTAGAGGAGGAAGTGAAGGAACGTACGTGCCAGTCGTGTTGCAAAAGTTGCACTGGATTGCTCCGCGGGTTGCAACAATCCAGGATTAACAGAAACCTCCCACTGGGTAAAAGAAGAAGGAGGAGGGAGGAGGAAGGAGGAGGAGGAGGAGGAGGAGGAGGAGGAGGAGGAGGAGGAGGGGAGAGGAAGAGGAAAGAGGAAGAGGAAGAGGAAGAGGAAGAGGAAGAGGAAGAGGAGGAAGGAGGAGGAGAAGGAGGAGGAGGAGGAAGAAGGAAGAGGAAGAAGAAGAGGAGGAGGAGGAGGAGAGGAGGAGGAAGAAGAAAGAAGAAGAGAAAGAGAAAGAAACAAGAAAAGAAAAAGAACAAGAAAAAAAGAAGAAAAAAACAGACTGCAACGACCTTACAAATGGTAAATAAACATAGATAGAACTATAATTTGTGTTGCGGTTAAATCGAGATGTTGCAGGTGAATGGAACAAACCTCAGAGAATTCCGTGCACATGAACACACGCAAATACACGTGCGAAAAAAAAAAAAAAAAAAAAAACGCACACAGAAGAGAATACGCAAAATGCACACGTGCGGACACATACATATTCACATAAAGTATACATACAAAAAAAAATCACAAATCAATGCAAAAGGCAAGTAAATTAAGTGATAATCATAATCAGAGAAACAGAAAAACAAACAATGAACACTCGGACACAGATATTTATTCCCACGTGGCGTTAGGTTAGCTATGAGTCTCGAGTCGTTAGTTGTTGATATATGAAACAAAAATGAAAAATACGTAACAGTGGGTTTAATACACACACACACACACACACACACACATATATATATATATATATATATATATATATATATATATATATATATATATATATATATATAAACATATGCATTAATTAATGCAACATTTATATTCTCCTATATAATGACTTTTAACTCATAAAGCCAATTCCAAAATTCGTGACAAATATAAATAAAATAATCGTGACTTTGTAATCTATATCATGATTAAAAGACAATTTATCTCTTACCTTTTCCAGTAGTACCGTAGCTTTTCTTCTAAGAAATCCATTCACAATAATTGTTAAAACACGACTATTTCTTCAGCATTACTACAAAATTAACAGATATCCTTCGCGTATCTCAAAACAACAAATATTTCTCAATTTACCCAATACATACAAGTACTCTCTCACTTATAAAACACACAATATTGCCAGGAAAGTATCAAAGAATCCCATTTCCTGTCATGCTAC